TCTATCCATGATTTGGTTTGTTTGCTGAGGTGAAGCAACAGGAATCATTCTAGGATGCTGGAGGTTGGCCTGTTTTCCAGTGTAGTCCTGTTTCTCTGACCGTGACTAACTCTCCACTGTCGCTACAAGCATGCTTAGTGTGAGGGATTGCTGAAGAGTCAATGAGTCGATGCAATCACCTGGTTTTCCTTAGATAGAAAACTTTGAATCAATCTGACTGGATGATCTGGTGAACTGGAAAGTGACCTGGGATGAAATTTTCATCATCATCATCATCATCATCATCATCATCATCATCATCATCATCATCATCATCATCATCACTATATTATGATGAGGTGAAATGAAATAAATGTCTTGTGGGCGGGGCCTGTGGCCTCCAGCTCTGCTCAGCATCTCCAGCCATAGAAGGAGACTTCATGACCTGAAATCTGACCGCTGCTGTCTCGGCAAAGTGGGCGGAGCCACAGCCCCCCTGCTGTTTGGGGCCCAGGGGACCACAGGTAGGATTCAGGGAATTATTCTTTGCTTATTTGTTGCTTTTTTATGCTTCATTTATTTTAGAAATGCCCAGAAAATATCTGCACTGATGGGATGAAATGTTGTTTTAATTAATCAGTTTTATGGATTTTTCTTTTTTTTTTTTTTTATTTGCTCTCAAATAAATTTTTCCTTTTTGTTTATTTAGGAAAAAATGCAAACATGTTTTTTTCTGGTTTTCTACTCCGGTTTCTGTTTATCATATTAATATTTTATTACTGGTCACTTTGTTTAAATGCTGGACAAAGAAAAAATACAGAAAAAAATCCCAGTTCTGCTCTAAAGGTTTCAATCTGTGCAATAATCGATCAGAGAGAGTCAGTATGAAAAAGCAGAAAGATGAATTACCAGCATAAGATTTGCATGAAAATGACTCAATTCTTTCTAAAATTCAGAAACGTGAAACAGAGAATTTTGCTGCGTGTAAAAATATCAGGGAAAATGTGAATATTTGAAGAACTGGAAGAAAATCAGAGTCTGAATGATTTACTATAAAACCTTTAAAATAAATGGAATAACTGGAACTGAAGCATTTCAGGCCTTCATGCTTAAATCAGTCATTTTCAGTCCCTCCCGGTAAATAAAGAACAAATCCATCCCTGCTTTATTTCTATTTCTGAGTCTGAAATATCGGATCCTTTCTACTGTGATCATCTGAGTATCAGCGGGAGCCCCGCAGCTCCCCGCAGCTCCCCGCACCGCAGACCGGGCCCCGGGCCCTACCCTCCTACCTCCGGTAGTCGCTCCTGCAGTACAGCTTGCTGTCCCGGAAGTAGCAGGTGGCGGTGAGCGGCTGCTGGCACGCGGCGCACTGCAGGCACTCCTCGTGCCAAGACGCGCCGTTGACCCTCTTCAGGAAGCGGTCCGAGATGATGCGCGTGCAGCCCTCACACGTGGCCCGAGGAGGAGAGTCCCAGCCTGGGGAGGGACACAGCATTAGCCCGGAGGCCCCAGAGAGAAGCTCCTTCCTCAGGCCAAACAGGAATCCATGAGGCTTCACTGAAGCTTTGGAAATATCTGCTTTGTTTTCTGGAGGTATTTGGAAATAAAACTGCTTTTCTTCAGATATAGAAATGGAAAAATAGATTAAATGCTGTCATTCCATTGGCTCCTTGTGTCTCCTTTTATCCTGCTCCTCAGGTTTCCATTTTCTATCATCATGCTGGTCTAAATTAAAGGATTTAAAACCTTCAGACTTTTATTTGTGATTTTAAACCAAAAATAAAAAAAAATCTTTCTCTGCAGGGAAATAATTTTTTTTATTTATTTATTTAATAATCCGTTTATTTTTATAATACCTCATTGATCCAAAATGATAAATGATGATATATCATGTATTTCACTATGGACACTATCATCCTGGATATCCTTTGAAATGTTTCAGACTCTTTCAAGAGTTTCTAACTCAGATCAAAGCAGAGGCTGAAGTTAAACTGATTCCCTGCAGAATGAAACCTCCAAAGCTCAGACTGAGCTCAACTCACCAGCAGAGCTGAACTCACCAGCAGAGCTCAACTCACCAGCAGAGCTGAACTCACCAGCAGAGCTGAACTCACCAGCAGAGCTGAACTCACCAGCAGATCACCAGCAGAGCTGAACTCACCAGCAGAGCTGAACTCACCAGCAGAGCTGAACTCACCAGCAGAGCTGAACTCACCAGCAGAG